CCCCTGACTATGTTACACCGCAATTCTGTCTTCTGGATAGTCATAAAACAAATTACCCACTGATTCAATAGCCTACATGAAGAATAGCTGGAAAATGACATAGTGTATCCCAAGAGAAGAAATCTAATTTTCACCTATATCTTAAGTCGGAATGCTCCCCTACTCTCCTCTATCTGTATATAGATACAATGTTGCTATCAGCAAATATATCTACATAATACAATCATTTCCTAGTGAGACATGGTGACAGAGAGATGAAAAAGCGATGTACATCTTGCAAGCACAACCATTAGTATTGTCAGGAAAAAACCTAAACCCTTAATACACCCAGTCCTACCTCTGGCAGTGTAATTATCAGGAACTCTGAAGCCCCAACTGATCTATCTTGTTCATAGCATTTGCTTCTCAGTGTAATGACGTAAATAGTTACATGAAAGAGATTGAGTATATCTGAACCTGATAATGCTATATAATCTCTTCTGTCAAGTCTCACCATCAAGACAGAGAACTAATGTCAGAGTTGTAGTGTGACCTAGGATCTTTTATTGCATTTTGCATGGAAAAACAGGGAGAGGATGGTGGGGTATTTTTAAAATATTAAGGAAGTGACACAATGAAAATTCCTTTATAGCACAATGAAAGCAGCTGTAAAGTCTGCTCCCTAGCACTGAATAAGCTCAGCTCATTACCACCAAGGAAAGAGCACGAAACAGTACAAAGTCTTTGAGAATAATTTCAGATGTTTGGACAAAGATAATCCATTTGATATTTTAGACATATATTTACTTTGATAAACAACCCTATTTAACTGAATAATAATAAAAAAACCCCACAAAAAGTACAGTGAATTAATGAGTTAATTTTATTCATTATCTCTCTAGAATAGCACTTGAATATTTTAGTTCTTGTTTTATTCTAATGGCCTAACTTTTTTGTTCAGCATACGTGTCCCAGTATGCAGTACTTTGTCCAAGTGCACGCAATTCAGAAATTCTGAACGGTCTTCCCAAAATTATAAGGTTTATATAAAAGAATTAAATAAAGTGTTGTGTAAACAACATGAAAGTTGTTACCTATTTCCTTTCTAAAATACATATAAAATTTTCTCTTCAGAGATGCCCAGAAGGCCATGAAGAGAAATGTTTTACAAAAAATGCCTAGAAAATAACATCTTCCCTGAGGCAACTTTCTTGAGCCCTTGCCACGCTGTTTTCATCTACTTCCATCTAACACAGGGACTCCTGCCTCCCCCTAGCCTCAGAATGCTTCCAGGGCTTCCTGACGTTTAATTTTACAATCCTCCTCTTCACAGCATTGTGGGTTTTTTCTTAACAACATAGATGAGAATAAAAAGAAAGTACACACAGGATATTCTTGATTGGTAGTTGAAAAGATGTTGTATATTGAAAGCAATGTATTTTAAACATTTCCTCATGTTCACCTATAATGACCTTTCAGTCCACCCAAATTGCTTGTGTGAATGTCTGGTTTTATTATGCCTTTTGATATGGATATTAAAATCTGACAGATAAGTACTAGGCTAAAAGCAGCTCATACATTCCTAGTAAAGAGTGAAACTTCTTAGATTACAGTCTTATAACTGAATTTCCTTAAGTATTATAAATTATCAACTATCTCTTTACTCAATTCCATTGTCTGCTTAAATCAAAGCTAACCAGTATCCTTAGTGGTATAAAAATTTTACAACTTCAGCCAACTATTCCCACAGTTCTTTCTGTGTGCAAGAATGTTATTTAAAATTGGCATGAAAAGTGTATGTTTTATAAAACATCAAATATGCTAAATTAAGATTAGCTCTAATTTCAAATGAGACATATATGCACTTTCTCATTGTTCATACAAATGTAGTGTCTTGTAGTAGGTCAAAGCAGAGAAAGTATTCTTGAAATATTATGACACCTAATGTCATAGATGTTGGCCTGGATGGGTTTGAACTCGAAGGCATATAGGCTCTACTTTTAATACTTTCAAATTTACAAAACAGGGCAGTATTTCTATCCAATCATAATGCAAAAGATAGACCTTTTAGAGAATAAATGTCTTTGGGAACAGGCTACATTAATATTTTGTCTAAATCCTATGAGGAGGATCAGCTAATCCATTTATTATGCAGCCTCCTGAAGAACTTCACAATAAGTTCAGAAGTTGCATTCCCTCCTCGCTCCCCCCTTTTAAAGTTCTACTTCATTTGAAGAAATTCACTGTGCATACCCTAGTCTCATACTTTAAAACAGTTCAAGGCTGCCTAGATGGCCAAAAATAAATAGCAAATCAGTTGATGTGTTCCATCAGTGTAGGTAAGTACTGATGTAAATCTGTGTGGCTTTATTATGTCTCTCCTTCAGCCTGGACTAGAAAGGAATGCAGTGGGAGAAGTGGGCATTGCATATGTGTGGGTGTGAGCAA